GTTGATGGTGTCAGAAGAAAAGGTCTGTCTGGACCAGCATTTTAGAAGATGGGTTCTTCAGTCTATCTCAATGCAGAGAATGGAGTGGGAGGGCAGGAGAGGGTAAGGATGGGAAGGGAAATGCAAGTGATTATTTTGCAGGTAACTTTTCTACTGCTGTCTGTGGTGTGTATCAGGTGAGTAATCTTCTGGATAGCCTCACCTTCCCTGGGAGCAATCCCTATGTTGCTTGCTGTGTTGGCACCAGAACAGGCTGCTTCCACATGAGCACTATGTGGTGTATCAGTAGACAAAGCTGTCCCTGCAAAAGCTTTGCTTTTATTTAGATTGCTGGGGGTGGGGGAGGAAGACTTACATTGTGGTTTCAGGCCTGGCCAGGGAAGAGTGTGCAGGGGTGGGCAAGAAGGAATTTCTCACTTGCACAAATGCCCATTCTGACCCTTCAGGTACACATCCCTGACCTGTGGGATATTTTTACCCTTATGCTGGACTCAGGGTGTGCACCTTTTGAGTCCTATAGAGTTGAGAGCTGGCCCTAATGCATTCTTCTGATGTAGAAGTCTGCTTGGACAGTAACTGAGCTACTGAGTGTCCTCAAAGGCCAAATGGGTGACCTAGAAACTTGAGGCACTTATGAAATGAGGGCCAGTTAACCAATGGGTGAAGTCTTGAGTTAAACACATGGTTCTCAGGCCTGCCTGTGTTGGTCACTAAGATTGTTGTAGCTACTAAGTTTGGCAGCAGTGCCTATCGGCGCAGGAGTGAGTCCCTCTTTCTTTTGCAGTTATGTGACTTCCTAGAGTCTGAGTATCTGGAGGAGCAGGTGAAGGCCATCAAGCAGCTGGGAGACCACCTCACCAACCTGAAGCGCCTGGGGGTGCCCCAGAACGGCATGGGAGAGTACCTGTTTGACAAGCATACCCTGGGGGAGAGCAGCTGAACTCTGCACTAGGGACCTGAACAGTAGTGTAGATCATGATGTCATAGCTGCATTACGCTGGATATAGATCAGAAAATAGATGTCTTATCTTACCTAAATACTGAGAATAAAATCTCTGCTTTCTGGTGTAACCTGGCTCATGTGATATTACTCCAACTGGGGATGCAGGCTGGTTTCCCCACAGATGCTGTAGTGGATGAATACTAATGTGTAGTGACTCACTAAGAAGAGCAGGTATCTTGTGAGGTGGAGTGGGGAAATGACTGGAGCATGGTCCTCAACAGTGTTCTTTGAGACTAAAGAACATGTGGTAGAGGGCTGTGATGGGACAGGGTCTGCATGGGACAATGGTGCAGGGAACTGTCTGTGCCATGAAGTGACTTTGGCATGGGTGGTGGTGGTGTGAAATCACAGCACAACAAGTTCCCCTTAGATCCATGGTTCTCAAGCTATGGGGTGGGCTTCCCAAGGGGGGATGCAAGATGTGTGGTAAGATCTCTGGCTGTCCACCTTGAATGGCTGGGGCTCATGCCGAAGGGCTGTCCACACCTGGGAGGGGGGGATGAAGGGGACAGCCAGAACTGCCACCTGCCCCAATCCCCCACCAGGAGGTGGCAAGGCTCTGGCTGTCCACCCTGGGGTGGCAGCACCAGTGCAGAAGTAAAGGTGGCAATAGGGTGCTAAGCCTGCTGTGACAAGTGAGAGGGAGGCAATGTGAAATTAATCACTTACCTCTGTACTGGTGCAGCACTGCCTTCAGAGCTGGGTGGCAGTAATGCCCTGGGGAAGGGGAGTGATAAAGTTTGAGAACCACTGCCTTGGCTGTGCTTGCGGCTAGAAGCAAGGTTCTGCAGTTAAAGTTCTCTACTGCTAGCTGTGCTGTGTAAGGAACTCCTAGTCTTTAATCCATCCCAGTGGAGATGATTCTTGTGAGCCCCTAGGGGTGTGGGGGTGTGTATAAACATGTTGCTTTCTGGGGTGATGTGGTCCATTCTCAATTTGCTACTAACAGAGAGGTTTGCAGTACGGTGGATCTGACCTGCTGTCCCCCCTGCTGGTCCTATTTCTAGAGCTGAGGTTCCAGTGTGGGGGGGGGGGCTTTTTTTTTTTCTGGCCCCAGTCATACATGGGTTGTAGTTTTCTCCTGGTCTGTATGTGGTTGGTGGTATAGTTTTCCCCCAGTTCCCTACAAGATGTGGCAACCTACTTGCAAAGCAACTGCTGTACCAGTTGTTTGCATTGCAGGGACTTAGTCTACTGCTGAGGCACCCTTGACCCATCAGCTGTTCTCCACTTTCAGTGTTTCTTCATTAGTCCTCAAACTGGCTATTTTAGCCAGAGCTTGAGGACAGGACCAACCTCTGCATTTTCTCTCCTGTAGTAATGAGGTGGCAAAATATTGACTGTATCTAATCATGACAGTGAAGCGCAAAAGGGCTGGATTGGTTTTCTCCTTTTCCCTTTTACTGCAGCTCTGACTCCTGGAGTCCCACTAATGGAGCAAGTGAAGGCTACCAAGCAGCTGGGAAACCACCTCCCCAACCTGGGAGTGCCTCAGAATGGTATGGGAGAGTCCTTGTTTGACAAGCACACCCTGGGGGGGGAGCAGATGAAGGCTGGTCCTGAAGACTGGTGCCCATAGCAGAGCTGAAATGGCGGACTTTTATTGTCTGAGAATAAAACTTGTGTGTGGGGTTTTTTGTGTGTGTTCTACTGTAGCTATGCTGGCATCTATTTGATGCTCTGGGGAACCACCTGAGTAGCTGATGGGAAGAAAGGTCCTGAGCTGGAAATAAAAAAATAAGTTCAAAAAATCAGCTGTCAGTGTAATGGGGGAAGACTGGTAGGTGAGGGGAATAATTCAAAGCAGCTTTGTACTCCTTAGTCTGGTTTTAGAGATTATCCGTATGTCCTAAACAGAGTAGAGGCCTTATAGCAATGCTTCTTTCACTCTAGTACAAGATCCCCAACAAAGATTATTTCTTCATTCAGGCCACTCCATACACCCTAGTGCTAGCACAGGAGATTTTACAGGCAAATGGCAACAGTTGGGCCAGTGAAACTAACGGGTAATAGGCTGCAGTAGCTTCTACAGCACAGAAACATCTTTCAAACTTCATGCAAACCTCTCACTAAGCACGGGGTAGTAAATTTATCTGTCTCTGGTTAACCTTATGAAGTGCAGGGGTTCTCAGAACAATTTTTTTTGGTGGCCTCAGAGTGTGGCCGCCACCCCTCAGTGGGGGCCGCTCTGAAAATTTTTCTAAATCTAACTCCCCCCTCCCCCGCTGCTGTTACAGGCTGAAGCCCAGGGCCCGAAGCCCACTCCACACGCACACAGTGGTCCTATGTATGTGCAGAGGTGCTGCCTGCAGCCAGGAGCAGCGCCGTCTAGGGCGGCAAAAACCCTCCTCTGAGGATTCAGCGGTGGGGG